CAAACTTGAGTGGCTGAAGCAGTAAATACTAAACCCTAATTGTAAATAGCAAATAAGGGCCCAAACACTTCAAAATTCCAGCCCATACGCCCGCCTCCAAATTCACCCAAACCCAAATCCTTAAAAAAAAAAATTATTATTTTATTTCATAGAACATAAACGATAACCTACAAGCAGCGCTCCCCGGCCCACATGTCCGGGTCGCTGCTATCCGGCAGCAGCGATGGCGCTGCTACTTCAGCAGCGCCGGAGCAACCGCCACCAAATTTATTTATTTTTAAAAAAAAAAAACTGAAATCTGAAGATCGAGATTTTTTGACCGAATAATTTTCAAATTTAACAAACCTAAATCTGGAATTGTTAAATTCGAAAATAATGAAATTATCACAAGATCGAAATTAAAGTTTCGATTCTCAATGATTCAACATGAAGTGGCTCTGATACCACTTGTTGAATAAAATAAATATTCTTCACCGTCATACGATCGTTGATGTTGAATTATCAAGAACTAATTAATCAAAAACGAAACCGTACCTAGATCAGACATGATTATCGTAATGAACAAGTCTTGCGGTTTTAGTTTTCCAGATCAACGTGGTGTTCCTTTGTTTCTCTCTGAAGATAGGAGTCAGAATAGAATGAACAGAAGATATGATCCGGGGACCATAATCGTATATTTATACTGATTGGGCATTGACCTAATTCGACCCATCATGGAATTAGGAATATACCCGATCTCTACACATATAAGCCCATACTTTAATTAGATGCTTTAAAACCAAAAATACTGAAACCTTATTAAATCACTTTAAGCGGGTTTAACCAAAAGTGATAGCTTTTAATTTAATACACAATATTTCACATATAAGTCCACATATTTGATTAAAAAATCCTTAGAACGCAACCTAAAGTCTTTTGGTCTTTGTCAATGAAATGAAATCTATTTTCTACAAAATAATCGCAACCGTAAAATATTTATTAATAATGAAAAACATAAAACATATTGTAACGAAGGAAGGATCATGGAACCGGTTATGATTTTGACTTAGCCTTAGTTTGCTTTAGTAAAACAAATTGGTAAAAATATTTAATTTCAAATCAGTAATTAATTTTAATTAAACATTTTATGGACTCGGATAGGATTGTGTTAGTCTATTCCAATTAAAATAATTTGTTCTTTTATTTCTTATTTGTACCTGGACTATAATGAAGGGGGTTTCATTTAAGTGGCCTAGTCAAACCAACTATTTGTTTAAAAAGTCTAACAACTTTGTTTTTTAGTTAGAAGGCCTAAAAATACATAAAATG